AGCAGGAAAAATCTAGGCTATACTGTTCTGCTTTGTAAAAACACTACTCCATCCTTTCTAGTGCATTGAGTATTCACTGCCTGCAGACTTTAGAACTGTTTATATGTCATAGGTACCACTATACCTTCAGCAGGTGCAACCGCTGAGCCAGAGTATCATGGTAGTTAAACAAGAGAGGGTACTTGGGGGTGGCAGTCTTTTTTTCACTGTATTTAGGAGAAAAGTAGTCGTATAGATTCTGTTAAAAAAGAAAGACGTATTAAACCCCAATAATCAGATTTATCTGGCATTTTAGGAAATGAACAAAAGACAACACAAACCTTTTTTTCACTCTCGGAAAGTGAAAGAGAAGGCAGGACAGAAGCTATATGATCTGCAATGGTACGATGCAGCCCATCTGCCCGGGGCTCTGGCACCACCAGACTAGGTGGTATAAGGTCATCTTCACTTGCAATAACCTGGCAAATGTGATATACATTAGCTTTCATTAAAGTATGACTTCTGCTTAACTTCATTAAAACTACCAAGCAGATCCTGCTATAAGCTAAACATCCATAAATTTTGTCAGGAAAGAAAACCATAATTTTTTTTCCTGCAAGTAGTAAAAATGCAATTCTCCATGTTAGTTCCTGCCCAAAAACAAAGGCTATGGAAAACGGAATTAAAAGTTTTCTCCTATCATTTACTTTTTGAAGGATGAGAAGAAAACTATTTCCAACTTGAAATGTTAAGAATTGTTAATAAACACAGATAATTAAAAACTGATTGAGTATCAGGTGTTGGATCTTGAGTATTTTTGCCTGAGTCTATTTTCAGACTAAATTGCAAAAAGTAAAAAAATAAGATTGTGCTGAAATTTTATTTCTAAAAGAAGGAAGACTTCCAAATCATACTGTGGGTCTTTGCCAACTGATATATTGTGCCTGAACTCAACAAAAGTTGGATCTGTCTAGCACTAGCATTGATCTACACCACTTCTATGCTAGACTTGCCCTAAGACCTTTATACTGAGTAAACCAGTAAAAGTTCAGTATCAGTAACACTGTTGCAGGACATGAAAACTTGTTACTGACTTAGCTAAGAAATTACACCTTTTTTCTCATTTAATTATATTGGATCCGTAGTCTTGAATAAAAAATTTTTGGAACAACACTGTATATACAGGGTAAGTGCACAACATGAAAGACCACCAAAGAAGTCACTTTTGAGTTGTGATTCCTTTGTATTGAACCTCCTTGGTCAGTGCCTCCATGCACAGTCTCTTATTTTAGGCAGAAACAGATGGATTTATTGATATTTGATCAATTCATTATACCAGGTCTAAGAGAAATTAGCCACAGGAATTATAAAGAGAATATTCCCACCTGTTCCAACATGCAGTTCAGCATTAAGGGTACAGAAAAGTATTCCTCAGGAATCTGACTCAGCAAGTCATTGTAATACCTCATGTCCACGGAAGTAGCCAGCATAGAAGCTTCTTCCTCTGTTGTAATAAGAGATAAAACATTAACATCAATTTCTTCAGAAATGCTGATTTATATTACTAACTAGTTCAACCTTCAGACAATTTTTCTTAAAAAAGACTAACAAAGCCCATTACTGTAGAGCTCTTAAATCTGACTGTGACTGGGAACAGATAGAAAAAGTGATTTTGTAAGAACTTGGTTATCACCACTGCAGTTTTCAGAAACTTTCACAATGTATTCACTAAGAAACTACTCTCACAATATCAAGTCACATCTTCAGCTTACTGTGCAAATAATTTCAAGGATTTGTGCTGTCAAATGAATGAATGGTATGACAGAGTGAACAGCTACAGACCAGCACTTTAATCCTTTAAACATACCTTGTGACAAAATTACTGTTGGCAGAATTTCTTCTGCTTGCCCTTTTTTCTTTGAAGGTGTAACCTGTGATGCTGACTGTACCTAAAGGAACAAAAATAAAGATAAAAAAAAACTCAGAAACAGTGGAACAAATGAGGATTGCACAAATAGGTGGGAGAAATTAATTTCATTTAGCTTTGATTACTTACCCTAAACTAGATGCTACACTTTTAAATGGCTGGTATTAGGGGAGGCAAATCCCACCTAACTGAATGGAACAAGATAGTAAGAATGTAGTTTTATGAATGCTTTAAATGAGCATTCAGTAATACTCCTACAAATGGAGTAAGCCCATTTTTTCCTTGCCACTAGTTTGTGTCCTATAAGCCACTTTCTTCTAGCTTTTGTCTGCTATGAACAAAATAAACTGATCTTTTATAGAACCAATAATCTTCTTTGGATAGTTCACATATCTGCAACAAGACATAGTACCTCCATGCAGGCATAGCAATTTTTCCAGACACAAGAATGTGTCATCTGAAGCTATTTAAGTAATTTTTACACCTGTGGTACTTTATGCCAGCACCTGTATGATCCTTCAAATTTTCCTTTTTTTTTGTTTTCCCAATGCTCTGGGTTTGGGGTTTTTTTTAATTATTTTTTTAGATTTTAAATGCAGAAGGAAAAAACCCAATTTCATTCACAAAAAATTACACATCGAGTGCTGGTCCAAAGTTAATTTCTGAGTGCAGAATTAAAGACAGGCAATTCTAGCCTATAACTAGTTATTCTCTACAAGAAGCATAGTAAAGCACAAAGGATCCTTGCCTCAGTTACCGGTGGTTGCGCCAATTTTCTCTCTGATAATGCAGGCACATTAATAAACTTGGTCTTTTCCAAGTAGTTACAATGCTGTCTTCTCCAGTCCAGGCAGTCATACATTAAACAAGCAATGCTTTCAAACAGCGCAGTGCCAAATGCAAGCTATGACAGAAAATCAGATACAAAGGATGAAGATTGCATACAAATGTCATGTAACTTAGCCACATGAGTCATTAGCTCCCTAACCAGCAACTCTGCAACTGTTTGAAAATCTTCAAGAGATATTTTGTCCACTAATTCAAAATGTTTTATAGAGTTATTTTAAGAAAACAACGCCTCCTCATCTTTATTTGTCTAAACACTGCCACATCACAGTATGGACTAAGTATTGCCCAACTGCTTTAGTTGTTATAAAGTCTAACTCGTCTTAACAGTAACCATTCAAGTTCTGCTCTCTTGCAACTGGAATTTAGGTTATTGTTTTGGATGGGAAGGAACAGGAGAGGTAACTTAAAATAACTGTTTTACATCATATGTGCATGTTTCTACTGGTGATCAACCCGCAGCATATTTGCAAGGTCAATTATTCTCCTGCCCTAGAAGGATAAAAAATAATAATAAACACCCTCAACCAACAAACCAATGTCATCTCATATTATTTTCTTTCTTTCTGTTGCCCTTTTAAAACAAAGAAAACCACAAGTACTGAACTCTGAATTCCATAGTTGTGCAAGCAAGGGAATGTCAGCATACCAGCCGAATGCCCAAAGGAAGAGTGCTGTATCTGCAGAATTCTGACAAGGAAAGAGTCAAGGTTCTTGAGGTGGTGTACAGTGGTTTTCACCAAGGCTTGGGAGGAATAAAAAGAGTAATACCAACTGCTATTTTAAATGTGCAATGCTTTTGTACAAATACCAAAACCTTATCTGAGACCACACGCACACTCAAGTTTCAGTGGCTTTAATGGATGTATTCTTCCCCTGTACATCCTAGACATTGTGGAAAAGAGGAAATTACTATAATTGTTAGACAACTTCTATCAACAGCCCTTTTCTGAGTGATTATTTCATTTTTGTGAAAGTAGGGGAAGTTTCTTGAATTAAGAAGTTTGCCTCTAAGAGGTGGCTATCAACATTGGATGTCTCAATTTGAAGTTTCCTAAAATGAAACATCGTGAAAAAGCGCAACTGTCATTGAGTGCTAAATATATTAACTGACCCTTAAGAAGTATCAAGCATCTGCTTTCTTCAACTCAGACCCTCTTTATGGCACTTCAAAACAAGCACCCCAAATCACCGATCAGTTATGGAATACTTATCTCAGTTTTCATAGCATTTAAAGACTAGAGGGGATATTTGGGAGACAAGTTCTATTTGCGAAAACAGAATTTTCAGAGTTAATATTCTTGCACCTTTGTTTTTCCAATTCAATACTCTTCTGAAAATTGGGTTAGTACAAAACCCCCCTTCCATTCATACATTACTTACAAAAGATCACTAGAGCACTTGAAAATTTCAGTTAAAGTACTGGAGTGTTTTGAATGCACAATCTTTTAAACAGAACAAGAATTTTTACAAATTTACAAGTAACACAGCCTGACTCTTCTCAATGGGACACATGCAAAGTTGAGCCACATTATATGTATAGCCATATTACATGTATAATTACAGTTTTGTGATTCAATTTACTTGTTCTCTCCTTTTCTCAGGACAGACACAGATGCTTGTCAGGACAGACACAGATACTCACCAAAAGTTCTCTGCATCTAACCACTACCGACTCTTCAACAAAGGAAAAGAATTTTTGAAAATATTTTCCTTTCTAAATATTTGAAATCCGAAAGCGGCAATTACTTGCTGTATATAACACTATAATTTTTCTATCAGCATCTAACAATATGTCACAAGAGTTTTCCTTCTGTATATCTTGGACTTCAGAGATGCAGCAAGCTAGGACTTGGAGACTCTCCAGGAAGCCCACTAGAACTAGACTTACGCTATCTACCTACGATTTCACAACTTCTATTCTTCCCATGTTCCTACTTCTTTAGAGCTCTGCTGAATTATGAGAGACAGAAGAATATGAAATTACAGCTATAATCTGCTGGAACAATTTCAGTGACAGATCATTTTTCTTTTATTTCAGCTACAATATAGCTGCTTAACAGGATATTCACAAGTAGCAACAGTCCTCTATAAGATGTGATTATGGAGAAGATAGACAAGATTAAAAAAATTCTTTCCCAAAATAGGCTTCATATTTTATGATTAGATTAAGATTATAATGATAAGTAATGTTGTAAGTAGCAAGCCAACACATTTCCAAAATTCAGGCATTTTTAGTGAATGCCTTAGAAACCACCATGGATTTAGCCAAACTTGGTTCTGATTCCTTCAGGATCAAGGGTACTTCCTAGCTCACCAGATGGTTTATACACAGGATTTAAGGTACTATAAATAGGTGTCAGGAGGGTGTAAGTCTGTCCTTTAACCCTAATAATATAGACCACAAATACAGTAGGTTAAGTTATGGCATGTTGCTTTATTTTGCTTTAGCAGTTTATATTTTTTACTGCTGCCATTGTGGATTGAAAAATACTGGACCCTTTTACCTCGCTAGACTTGAGAACCTAGGTTGGAAAAAATTTCTAATGGTTCACTTTCTCTTCCAGAGCCCAGCAGTAGTCCTGACTCAGCAGGCTATAATGAGTAATAAATAGTCCTGACTCAGCAGACTATAATGAGCCCGAGGCATGGTTTGGGTTGGACAAAAAGAAGCAGTACTGGGTATGCTAAACCAACATTTCATATCAAAAAAGCATTCTTGCATTCATTTTAATTTGTTCTCATGTGACAGTTCTGAGATACAGTAAGTAGACCTGCTGTTACAAGGACAAAAATATAATTTTTGTGTTATTTCATACTGACATCTAACTCTAATGAGATCCAAATTTGGTCTAAGTAAAGATGCTGAATAAATTTAATACCTCAAACTGTTTTAAAACTCTGCTGCTGTGACCTACAATATTAAGAAATTCAAAGGACTCCTTGTGAATACATGCTGAATAAACTTGTTGGATACATAGCAAATAATTTTTTTCAAGATTACAAATATACTAACTACTCTGGTTCTGTTTCATAGAAGACTAAGCTAAAATTCCTGTCATTTCTAAATTGGTCTTAAATGTTACAAACTCCAAAGCATGCCATGCATTGTGAAAGCAGAATCTACTGACCAGCATTTCTCTGTCAGACCAATCAGGAGGAAAGGCACTCTCCTTAACTAGGTGATGAAGTCTGGCAACATCAAAAAGACTTGATCCATGCTTTCCACTGTTCAGAACTGGCTCCAGGTATTTCCAAAATGTTTCCAGGTCTTTGATAGCTTCATCTTTCTTTCTCTTCTCTGCTTCTACAACTAAAATTTATAAGTGTTAGATAAATGATGGTACAATGTTTCCCTTTTACAGAAAGCACAAATCATATTGACCAGCCGGGTTAGCTCAGTTGGTTAGAGCGTGGTGCTAATAACGCCAAGTTCACAGGTTCAATCCCTGCTTAATGCAGGGCGGTTGGGCTCGATGATCTCTCAAGGTCCCTTCCAACCCAAAGCATTCTATGATTCTATATATTAGCCTTCTGTAAGTACTATTAAAATACTCCCTTCCTCAGAGTCTCAGCAAAAATCTAACACCCAACTTCACCCAACTTTGGGATTAAAAAATTCCAGGAAGATAAAGCCTCAGTAAAACATGGTAGGTCTTTCGGGGGGGAAAAAAACCCAAAACCCAAACCAAACCCCAAACCAGAACCAGCCCCCTACCTCTCCCCCCCAGACTAAACAACAGCAGTGAATAATTGAAACCTAGGAAATGTAAAAATCCCAGGTTGCACTTTTCCAAAGCTGCCAGCACATACCTTGATGAACCTGTTTTTTAAGTACAGGGTAAGCAAGCCTTATTATCACAATTTTATTGATGTGGAAATTGGGGCAAAAAGAGATTAAGGTACAGTGCGACTATGAACAGCAAGCCTAGAAGTTGTATGGTTTCCCTTTTTACTGCATAGTAATGATCCATTTTCAAAGGTGCTCCAGCTACACAGAAAAAAAAAAAGTTCTCTCTCAACACCAACCTTATAATCACACCCTGGAATCCAAGATCAACCATACTTTTTGTAGCCTAATTTAAGAGACTTAAGGACACTAAACCTGCAGTGACTTCATTTGGACTTATCGGTGCTCAGCACTTCTAAAACGTTAAGTATGAAGGCCAAATATCTCACTTGTATAATTCTAGTGGCCCCAGTGGTTTAAAACAAAACAACTCAGTGAGGCTGTGGACTCTTCCAAAAATGCTGATCTCCTTAAGGTTTTCCAAGTTATATATGCCTCCTGTAGCAGCCATCAGAAACATTTGCCAATTAACTTATAAAATGGTTTTATCATGATTCGGAAGATAGGTCCCATTAAGTGACTCCAGAAACTGGGTAGATGACCTGGAAACTCTGCCAAAAGGTTCTGTAGGTATAAGACATTCTCATGAGTTCAAGGGGAGACTGAACAAGTACTTAGAAAACAAACTAAATCCGTTGAGGTTTACTAAAAAGACAAAACACATCAGGATCAGGAAAATCCCCTGACTGGAAAATCACTGGTGGCTAGGTGATATATGTGTTCAGAAGTTTCATATGTGCTTTTCCTACTACTCTTTTCTTTTTCCTTCCCTTTCTTTCCTCTCCCTTGGGCATCAGTTTATGACCACTCCTGGAGACAGATCACTGGCCTAGAAGATCCCTTGATCTTAAACAGTTCTATGCTCCTAACAGCTCATCTCAGTCATAGGATCATCCTTTCTCTTTGTTTTTCATCTGCTCATGAAAGACATCCTCTAATTTAGGACAATACTTCACCATGGCAATGGTTCCCTAACAAACTCAGCTTTGAAAGTACATCTCAGCAGTGTAACAGCATCTAGAGCTGCTCAGTCAAGGATTAATCTCTTTACATTTTTGAATGAAAGGTGAATGGCACTGTCCTAATAGCATTGTAGCTAGACATTCCTGTTTTACAACAGACTAATAATAACATTTTACTAACTCCATCCCATAGTTTAATAATAAAAAACCCACACAAACATGTGTATGACATTTAGGCTTCCCCTTTTCACAGAAACATCACGGCTTGCCAGAATCAATCATTAGATGTTCTGCCTTTGACTACTGCCTCCTCTCTTAATTCTTTTGCCTGCAGTCCTAAGGCTTTTCTTTCCTCAACTATATTTTCATCATGTAAACTCTCTCAGAATGAATTAAAGTTTTCATGAGTAAACCCAAAAGAATGTGCAGGAGCTAGGAGAAACTGTTAATACAGAAGAGATTTGGCACAACCCCACAAAGAAGCTCAATTACCTTGAAGTCTTCAGTAACAGAAATGAGATACTATCCAGCAGTACACTAGATGATTTTGGAACAACAACAAAAAAACCCCAGTTAACATCATATAACTGTGGAAGTATCTAGTATATACTAATACATTGCTCAGTGATTTTGAACCATCACTGTGAAAACAGAAATCCTAGAATGACTAGGATGTGTCAGGTAACACACTTCCAGCAGAAACAGAGAAAAATTAATTCCATTTTGTCAGGCTGAGAGATTGGTCTGAGTTCTTGCATTAGCTCTCAGAAAAGCTGAATTAGTAGCAGCACAGCTACTAGAGTGATTAGAGCAACAGAAAACTAACCGTATGAAAGGGCACTAAAGAGTGCTTGACTTGGTAACATCACAAAATGAAAGCCATTAGGGGATGCAAACACTTGGGAAGGAAAAGAACAGGAAAGCTGTGGTCCATAATCCATGATTCATGTGCATTCATGCTAGGAACAACAGAAACACTGTAACGTGATTGCATTTACAGCTTAATGTCTTCGCTTCTAAACGTATCTCCATACATTATTGAAATGATCAACCATGATCTATTTTGTAAGTCATTCAACTACAAAATATTGAGTTAATGCCTGCTCCAAGACATGATTAACTATACCGGTATCACTGCTGACAAATGTTTGTCCTAATAGAACCTTAAAAGCCTGCAAGACTCAATAATCTTCCTACTCAGTCTACCTCAGTACTTCACTAACCTCACCTGTGAAAAGTTTCTTCCTGCTAAATTGTATTTTCTCTGTTACAGCTTAAACTCTGTATTTTCTGTTCTAGCCTTTTCCAAACTTGAAAACTTTTATCATTTTGCCACTTACATCATTCAGCCTTCTCTTCTTAAACTTAAGGATAACAATTCAATTTTTTTTCCTCATGGGTAAAATTTTATAGATCCCTAATAATTTTCTTTTCCATCATTTGGAATTTTTCTGATTGGCACACATTTCTTACAAGGTCTTACCTCACTACTGAGTTGCATGATAAGATTACTTCAGGTATTTTTTAGGACATTTTCTCATTTATAATCTGGATATGGTATTTGTTTTTTAGTGGCATAGTGATATTGCTGACTTATGTTCATTTTTGAAGTCAGCATGATAGCTTATCTTTCAAACCTGTCATCTAGCCATGTGTTTCCTAGCCTTTATTTGTACATTTAATTATTCCTGTATAAGCATACTATATTGTCCATATTAAACAGAATAGGCTTTTTTCCAGATTGTTATTCTCTATTCTGTTGAGGACATTTTGCATTTGAATCACACCCCCTTATTCCAGTACCCATGACAATACCAAATAACACCAGACACAGCACAAATTCTCTCAAGTCTGCTCCATGCTTCCTTCTATTTGATAGTAAACCTTTAACAGTTACTCTACAGAGGCCAAGTGTTTTATGAATGAAACTGCACCTGCTATATATTTATTTTCATCTAGACCTACCTTGCTCACTGTGGACCATGTGAAATAGCCTTATTAAAACCTAAATATACAACACAGACTACTACTCTGCTCAGAAGGCCAGTACTTCATTTTGTAAGGAAATTAAACTTGTCTGACATGATTTGTTCTTGAACAGCATACACTAGCTGTTACTCATCTCCTCATTTTTCTTTTAAGTGGTTATAAATTATTTGTTCCAGTACGTTTCCAGACACCGAAATTAAGCAGATTACAGTGCCTTGGCTATTTGTGTTCCTTTCCCTCTTCCTCACAGCTCTTTTTCCACTACCTCACTTGCTCTTTATGAATTCTCAAATATAAATGAGAATGGCAGGCAGATCTTTAAACAGAATACAATTTAAGTTAATCTGAATCAGCTGATCTGAAAAGTTCTTTATCTTACCTAAGTAGTACTCAGTTATTTTACCTATTCCTCCACAATATGAAGCTGAATCTTTCTGCTACCAGCATTAATTGTGGTTAGTTATAACTATCACCTGTCTGCAATGGTGTTTGTAGTGAAAACAGATTAATCCCCACAACACACAAGCCAGCAAGAAGTATCAAAAGCCCCCCTCAAACATTCACCACTGCCAGCCTTCTCAGGATCACCTCCTGACAGTTCTTCCTCTCTGCTGAGCAGCGGACAAACATTTTACTTGGTCCTCCTCCTGCATCCCATTTTGTATCTTGGCATTTCTGATTTTGCGCCAGTAGGCTCATAATAAATATATATTCTCATTCCTAATGACCTGACCTATTTATAACTCTAAAATGCTTCCTTATATCTGAGGTCCACAAAGAATGCATGGTTTAGCCAAGCTGTTTTCTTACTATGCAACCTATCCTTTTTAGTAACAGGGAAAACTTGCATTACTACCTATAATACTACTTACACAAGATAATATTATCTATTTTTTCCCCTTCAAAAGTTTCCTCACAGATTTTACTTACTAATTATCTAAGTTACTGAACTCTTCCTGTTACTATACATACAAGACAAAGAAAAGATAATTTAACTTTGGAAATATTTGGGGAAACTTGCCCCTGCCTCCTCACCCCCAGCAGGTGTTGTAAATAAAATTAAAATAAACCTATGCTTTCTGCTCTCTGCACTTCCAACTATTTTCTAGTAAGACATTACCTTTCAATTTTACAAGTTCTAACAAAACTAAAAGAAGCTGGAAATTATGTCTTCCTCTCATTCTTTTCCCAGAGATAAGATGGCTCATCAAACAAATTCAAACATGACATTACTTCTTTGAGTCCATCAGTTGGTTCTGTGATTGCCTAAGTCTTAAAGGCTAAATCGATGTGATTCGTGTTAGCTCACCTTGGCACCTTTGGGGACAGATTCCCTAGTGCCTACACAATCTAACCTGTAGCATTTGCCTTGAGGCAATATGAGTATCTCATTTTGTCAACACAAAGGGGAAGGTAGGAATAGCGTGCTGAGATAGTTCAGCCTTCACAACACTCATAGGTAAATGGTTTGTATTCATCAGTGGTCAGAATGGCAGTGAGTCACACCATTCCATTCCTGTCCTTCAGCACTCCAACATAAACAAGCTTCATAACCCTCTCTCCTGCCCAACATACCCAAGACACCATTCCTCTTATTTACTGGGTTGCTTGTGCCATCTCAGCACTGTCAGAATCCATCACAAGGGATTTCCCAGCACCACAGAGAACACTGCAGAAAGTCAATATGCAGTTATAATTAGAACCATAATTATTAGTCAAAACCCACATGTACGAACAATTATGGCTACCAACTCAGTTTTCTCATCTACACTTATTTATCACCAGACTTTGACTTAGTTTTAAAATAATTCAGGTTGGAAGGGACCTCAATCCCCTACTCAAAGCATGGTCAACATGAAATTCAGACAACAGGCTCAGGGCTTTATCTAGCTCAGTCTTGAAAATCTCCAAAGACAGAGATCCCACAACCTCTACAGGCAACCTGTTGCAATGGTTGACTGTCTTTGGGGTAATTCCCCCCTGCCTTTTATCTTGCCAGAATATTCTATTTCAATTACAGAATCACAGAACGGTTGATGTTCGAAGGGTCCCCTGGAGGGCATCTGATACAACTCCACTGCTCTGACATTAACGAGATCCCTCTTTGTGCTTTCTATCCTCCAGAGTAAACATTCCCAGCTCTCAGCCTCTCCTTATCTGAGAGATGCTCCAGTCCCTTAAACATTTTTGTAGTCATTTGATGGACTCTCTCCAGTAGCTTCACATCTCTCCTGTACTGGGGAGCCCAGAACTGGACACAGGACTCCAGGTGTGGCCTCACCAGTGCTGAGTAGAAAGGAAGGATCAACTCCCTTGACCTGACACAGCCCAGGATACCATTAGCCTTGTTTGCTACAAAGGCACATTGCTGTCTCATGTTCAACTTTGTGTTCACCAAGGACCCCCCAGGTCCTTTTCTGCCAAGCTGCTTTCCAGCCGGTCAGCCCCCACCATAAATTGGTGCATGGGGTTATTCCTCCACAGGTGCCAGATTTTGCCCTTGCCCTTGTTGAATTTTAGGAGGTTCCTGCCAGACCATTTCTCCAGCCTGCTAAGGTCCCTCTGAACAGCAGCACAACCCTCTGGTGTTTCAGCCACTCCTAGTTTTGTATCATCAGAATACTTGCTGAGGGTATATTCTGCCCCACTATCCTGATCATTAATGAAGATGTTGAGCAGGACTGGACTGAGTATTGCTACCTGGGGATCACCACTAGATACTGGCCTCCAACTAGGCTTCATACCACTGATCACTACCCTCAGGGCCAGGCCATTCAGCCAGTTTTCAATCCACCTCAGTGTTTGCTTATCCAGCCCACACTTCATTGGGTTCTTTATGAGGAGACAGTGCCAAAGGCCTTACTGAAGTCAAGGCAGACAATAGTCACTGCTCTCCCTTCATCTACAAAGCCAGTCATTTTATCATAGAAGGTTATCAGGTTGCTTAAGAATTACTTCCCCTTGGTGAATCCATCCTGACTGACCAACTACTTGTCTTTCATGTGCTTGGAAATTGCTTCCAGAATTAGCTGTTCCATCATATTCCCAGGGACTGAGGTGAGGCTGAGCAGCCTTTAGTTCCCTGGGTCCTCCTTTCTGCCATTTCTGAAGATAGGAATGACACTTGCTTTCCTCCAGTCCCCAGGTACCTCTTCCAATTGCCATGATTGTTCAAAAGTTATTGAGAGTGGCCTCGCAGTCATATCCCAGCCAGCTCCATCAGCATTTCTGGGTACATCCCATCAGGTCCCATGGACTTATGTGTGTCCTGTTTGCTTAAGTATTCCCTGACCTGATCCTCTTCCACCAAGGGTATGTGTTCCTTGCTCTAGACTTTCCCCTTGTCTTTGGGGCCTGGGATTTCCAAAGGCCATTCATGATCATAACTTCTATTTCTTCTTCCAAGTACCTCAGTGAAGAGTCTTGCTCTGTGTTTGTGGTAACTTTCTCAGAGGTTTTAGAAGGATGCTTTTAGGTGCCCTGTAAGCCTTCTCTTCTCCAGATCAAGCAAGCCAAGATCCTTCAGCCACTCCTCATAGGGTGGCTGTCTGCTGGAGTCACTCAAGCTTATTGTACCGTGAAGCCCAGAACTCTGGTCTCACGAGAGCCAAGTAACTGGGAATAACCACTTCCCTTGATCTACTGGTTATGTTACTACAGCTCAGTATGGCAACTTTCATTGATGACTCATGTTTAGCTTGCTGTTCACCATGATCCCAGTTCAAGAGAGGTGTTACAGCCTGGGGACAGCTGAGTACAATTGCAGGCTTTTATTCTGTGGCATATTCTTCTCTGGCTGGGGCCACAGTCCCAAAGTAGCCAGCTGTGCTCTTCCCTTGAAATTACCAAATGACCCAAGTTGCTTAGCAACACACCTTCCTGGCTAACGATTCATAGAAGTATACATTTGATAAAGTGGTGTTCTTTCTACTGCAGAAAACTATGGCTGCAATCACTAACTGCTTAGTCAGTCCCCCCTTCCGCTGTCCAGCTGAGGCAAGTTTGGCAAAACATTTGGTTTGGTGACCAAACCGATGGCGATACCATTTCTGCACTGGCAAACACAGCTGCTCACCGGTAGTATGAACAAACACAAGGCACAGAGAGGGAGAAAACACAGCCGGAACAGTATTTACTTGGATATCAAATAGTCTCCTTTCTACACAAATTTTGTTCTTATGACCATATTACCTTCAGGTGAAAGTAAAGATTGTTCCTGAAATTTAGTTGCCTCCAAGTATGTCTGCAATGGCTTATAATTCTCAGAAGAAATTCTAATTACACTTGAAATGTTAATTCCAAGCTCAGACATCACAGGCAACAGCTGAGGGTTGTGGAAATCCAAAATTATAAAGTAATGATGGGCACCATCATCTGGTTCATCGTCTGTTCAAAACACAACAAAAACAGATTAGCACAAGGACATTCAACAGCTAAACAAAATTCTTTTTTTTTCTTGACTATATAGGAATACTGCAAATTGAAAACAGTTCTTTCATAACCTCATTGGGGTAATTACATGTAAGTCAAAATATTATGTTTTGACTTCACTGAAGTCTTCTGTAGCAAACCACCTAGAACTCAGCCGGAAGAAATCAAGTCAAAAGTAAAACTTGTTTGGAGTAGCACCAGGAGAAAAATTGGAGAAGCTGATTATAACCAGAATGCTAGTTGTGGCAACATTTCTGTAATTGCTTCTCTTTATGAAGAAATTTAGTGTCAGGACACACATGTTCTAATGGTAGTTTAAGCTAGCCTATTTCATCCTGCATAAAGCTAGCCATGGAGCACGCACGGAATAAGTTACTGTGTCTTAGCTGAGAGATTACATTAGCTGTAATAGTTTTGAAGAATTAGCTGCAGGTATGAGCTGACTCTCTGCTGACTGCTCCCTGCCCAACAGGTTCATGTTTGCTAGATGGACTCCCCGCCAAAACCCTCATCAGCTGGTAATACCAGCTCACACTAGTCCTTTTAGTTGGCAAGGGGCATACCCAAATTCATCCTAAAGGACAGATGAGAAGTCTCACTGAGTGCCTGCTCTGTTTGGGCTTATTACTTCTGTAGAAATACACATAGCAGCGTTTCCGTACCAAAGCAAAAGATTAAGCATTATGCAAGTAAAAATGAGCCCTCTAGAAGCTTGACTCTAGTTTAAGTTAATTGTGTAGATTTCCTTTACGGCCCCTGCAGAAGTACAGGCATTCAGATAGGTATCGGCTGATTTAACTCATCCAGCATGGTTATTTACCCTAAGACAACAGAAACCACCTGCTGAAGTTCCTGTAGCTCTCCATCGACTGTGGAACACACACAATTAATGTAGATCCTGCCCTAACAGCAAAACTCAGTTTTATATTCTATTTAGCATTAAGATTCTTTCTTATGTCTACTAACACAACACACCTAAAAGTCCTTTGGCCACTCCTCAGCTCACAGGACTCATTCATCCATGGGAGTTAAAAAGGGCAGGGAAAAAAGGTAGCCTGGCACTGACATCTGCCTGTGCTCAGGTATACAGCCAAGCTGTGCAAATGTTGCTATCACCTGGGAGCAGCAGGCTGGCAACATTGTTCTCTCTCCTCTTCTTGTAACATTAGGTAAACATAAAATAAGGTAGGAACTTGGAGAAAGACTGACTGAGGAAGCAGCCACCACAGTCCAATACATATATTTACTGGACATATATGATCCGAGGGCTGGAGCACCTCTCCTATGAGGACAGGCTGAGAGAGTTGGGGTTGTTCAGCCTGGGGAAGAGAAGGCTGCAGGGAGACCTTATTGCGGCCTTTCAGTACCTGAAGGGGGCCTATAGGAAGGATGGGGACAATCTTTTTAGCAAGGCCTGTTGTGACAGGACAAGGAGTAATGGATTTAAACTAAAGAAGAATAGATTTAGACTGGCTATAAGGAAGAAATTTTTTACAATGAGGGTGGTGAAGCACTGGAAGGGGTTGCCCAGAGAGGTAGTGGAGGCCCCATCCCTGGAGACATTCAAGGCCAGGTTGGATGGGGCTCTGAGCAACCTGATCTGGTTAAAGCTGTCCCTGCTCACTGCAGGGGGGTTGGGCTGGATGATCTCTAAAGGTCCCTCCCAACCCAAAGCGTTCTATGATTCTATATTGCATAAAGCAAAATCAAAACCAGAAGAAAACTAGTGCATTATATCACTGCTAGTACTGAAACTGAACTACATATTTTGATGCCTCAGTTACTGCATATACAATTACTGAGCATTAATGATTTCTGACAAAAAGGACAGATGTCTGCATAGTGACTTACAGAGATCCAAAAATTCCAATGCATACATGCTGAAAAGAAAGACTGCCTGCCATTCAACAGTTATGATTATGCTAATAATCATGACAAGTTGATAATAATCAGTCAGTTCTAATAATCAGTGAGTAGTTCATACTTAAATCATGAAAGACATCAAAGTAAGTAAACTCAAGATTACTCAAAAGCAGAAATATTCCATTTCAGAAAGGTGATAATTTACTAGGGACAAATGACAAAATGACTGTTAACTACTAGAAACAGACACAGATTGTCTTTGAGTTCATAACGGTCTTATATAAGCAATAGCTCAGACTACTCTTGGGTAAAAATTGTGGCATTTTTCTCTCTTTTTATTTTTTTTTTCTTTCCTTGATACAGCTATATTAGAGTGGCCAAGAGTGCTGAAAAAAATTTTCACTGTATCAACTTTAAGGATCATCCAAGGTTCTTCATGTCTTCTGCTCAGACTCTTGTAAAATATGGAATATGCAGGAAGAATTTTAGAGTTCTACATTCTCAGGAGAAAAGTTTCATAGATCTACATGTTCTTGAAACCAAGAAATGGAGCTGGCACCCCTTTGTCCCAAGACACAAAACAAAGCTTTAGCATGAAGTCCTTGAGCACCTTAATTGCCATGTTCTTGAGGAAAGATAGAAATTCCTGACAAAGTTCTTTCAACACACTTAATGTTCATTTAGAACGGTCTCTAGAAATTTTGGCAATACTTGACTTAAATTTCTCCTGGTATGGACTTCTAGGTCGAACTGTCAGGAATTCTATTCCTGACTCTACGAAGAAATGAAGAAGCAATTACCTCTCCATAAAACAAGAGCTGTGTTTTTTCCTGTAGCCCAGGGTGAAGGGCTTGCAGGGTGCTGTCCCTTTTTAGGGTTATAGGTTCCTTCCTCAGCACAACTAAAGGAAGCAGCAAGGTCAGATTACCTTTTCCATTGTTAGGTAGTTCCTTACTGTCTTCAGACTGGAAATCAGTCCACTGAATACAATTTTTTTTTGTGTAAGTCAGAATCAATGTGTTTATTATTAAGCCAAGCTGTGTGGATGCACAATGAATGTGGTAAAATGTTCAGAATGGCTTCAGCTCAGTACAGTCATGACAGTAAAATTAAATACAGCACAAGTGACCAAGCGCGAAATACCTCAATAAGTTCTCCTTTGAGGCAATCTGCAACTATTACTATTTTGTAAATATCCTTGGGACTAATGAGACAAATCCCAGTCAGTAAAATCATAGTTTAACAGCAATGCTAGCAGTTCATAATATAAAGCTACTAAGCTTACTAAACAAGGATGCTTTTCATGGCTGTTAGTTTTTGGAGGCAATTTGTATTTTCCTTACTTTGTCTTCTCATTAGCTGTGACTAACAAGGCAGCAAAGCATGGATATCTTATACAAGTACCCGATGTTTTCTGCCCACCTCTCAAGGCAGTAGAGAGCAAAAACATTGGAGCTGATAAAATTGCTTCTACAGGGCCTAATGGAAGTACATTAATACCCACCCAAAGCCACTCTGTACTGTACATTCTGTACAAATTTTAGTAAGATGACACGAGTTCTCTACATCACTTCAGCTTGGATTCTTAAAGGTATGAATGTTTCTTTGAAAACCTCTTTCAGTCCCTGAAAAACCTTAAAATTATCAAAAGAACGATGTTATACCCAAGTCTTACCTGAAAAAATGAGGAGGTATGCACAGATAGCTACTGTTCTGTTCTTGTGTATTTTTGTCAGCTTCACTAAGAGTCAAGACTTGCTCTAAACCCTTGGACTTTCTAGATGTCTGAAGAGTGCCATTGATCTCAAATGAGATGCAGACAAAGGTCTGATGAAAGAGTGAGGAAAACCTGCAGCAGTTCAACTAGGGAATAGCAGCTACACGTAATGCATCCAAAAATCAGCAAGTACTTCTCCAGCAGGAGAGATCCTGTTTATATTGATGTAGCTCAAACATATTATGGTCAAAATTAAATATAACTGTGATCTAATCAGGTGAGCTACGCACGTTCTCCAAAGTTTTTTGTTCCAGTGAAATTTGTAACCACGGCTGCTATGTATTAAGCATAAAGATTTTCTCAGTACTAGTTAGTATATTATTCCTTGCTTTGTATAGCTCATTTCTGGAGTAGATTTCTTCAGGTCTCAGTTCTATCGACATGTTTTTACACCAAATGAAATCATATTGTACAGAACCTGGCTTCATCCCCAGACAATGGCAGACAGCTCTGTTATACTTTATAATACAAGGAGAAAGCCACCTTTGCATACAGACACAAATGCGTTTAGTTATTCCAAAATCTTTCTGTAAGAAAGATTTTCTGTAGGATTTGTTTAGCTGCTTTCTTTTAGTCTTACACATGCTAAAACATTTTGAAGTCGACATGCTATATATACCTCATCTGTATTTTATTTCTCAGACTGTACAATCTGTTCTAATACTGAGCAGAACACAGTGCCCTCTTTAAATGCAAAGTGGCAATGCTTTAATATTGCCAAATAAACTTTGACTTTTCAACATGGAACAAAACAAAGTACTCTGTTAGAAGCTAGGCTGCAAGATTTCTAGCAAGTTTATCAGGAGCATATGTACACTTTTTACATACCAATGTATTTGTCTTCCTCTTCCACTTCTCCCCGTCGCTTCAGTTGGGTGTCTTTTTTAACAGTGACTGGTGCTAGAGGGCCTACTTCTGTCTTTTTTCCTTTCTTTTCTTTCTCAACTGTCTTGGCACTAGGAAGGTTCTCCTTCTTGCTGGGAGGTTTAGC